AACACCTGTTACCCCATGTTTTTTGTCATGTGTGTGTCTTCTTGAATGGGTTTTCTTAAACGTAATTTCATTGTGCAAATGATGACAATAAAGGCTTTCATCATCATCATGCACATATAGCCTGAATTTCAGATTGGATTCACTGAACACATCCTAGATGCATTTTTCCAGCTTTGCAAAATGGAGACATTTAAAGAATTACATCTGATTTTTTTACATTAGATTACAAAATGCACAGAGTTTCCTATGATTGCAGTTTTTGCTAAACTTGTGAGACTCCTGCTCCTTTCCGTTATTATCCCTCCCTGCTTTTAAATGGGAGTGGGTTATTGCAAAAACAACACTCAAGGCTTGATTATTTTAATAACGAAGTTTTCTTCACACAAACCATAATCAAGATCCAGATTTCTTACTAATTAGAAATCCTAACCCTGAACAAAAGGCTCCGACCTTTAGTGGGTCACTGCAAATTAAACAATTAACTCACTGTTTCACCCGTGGCCCACATTCTCTGCAACTCGTGCTGTTTTGGGTGGCATCAGAAGGTCGGAGCAAACAACCTTTTTGGCTGCGAGGTTGAAGGACTTGTTGGTAAATAGGGCATTTCTCGGGGTCTATTTTCAGCTGCAGATTAATGCACATTTGGTATGCCAGCAAATTATAACAGCAGGGTGGTGTATGTGGGATTGACTAAAAATAAACGACAGCTCTCGTGTTCATCCTAATGAAGCAACATGACACCCAGAGCAACAGTGTCAACTGAGTCTCCTATAAAGCTGCCTTTGTATACCATTAATTTACAGCCGCTAATATGCTTTGAAGCCAGTGTAAAACATTTTAAATTACATTTCAGACAAGCATCAAAATGGGATGATTTTTAAGTTGTGTATTTAAAAATAATGTAACAGAAGACGTACTTGTCTCCCAGTGTAACAGTACAGGGTACAATGACAGAAAACTCTGTTTGAAGGAATAAAGAAGTCAAATTATTCCTTTCAAGTTTTTTTTTGAAAATTATCTTTTGCCAAATGTTTATTTAGGTCATCTTGAAAGAAAACTTGTGAAACAGTTGTTTTTTATTTAATCTTTTAAAATTATTTTATAGCACACGTCAACATGTGCCAGTACTTATATTTCTGCTTGAAAATTTAAGCTTTTTGTGATTGGTGCTGTTTTTTCATGACAGCTGGCAAMTTTGAAGCCAAAAAAAGGTTGGAATGTTTCAGTAATCTTTGATTTWGGTGTGAACAGAGAAACAAAAAAATGCTAAATGAGACTGATGAAACTCTCGCTGATGAACTTGCAGCCAAGAAAAGTGAAAAGTGCCAACAGAGAGACTGTTTTGTTTTCTGTAAACTTTGTATTTCAAAGTCAAATGATTTGATTCAATTAATAGTTTTTTTTATCAACTGATTTGCTGGACTGTAAGAACATTATTCTTAATAAATGAAAATGTTGATAGCACAAGTAATTAATGGTAATAATGGGACTTTTAAAATGTATTTTTTAGTCATMTATGTTCTAAATTCTATAAAGAATGTTAGTGGGGGGAAATCATCTGTTTTTCTATAGGAATAACAATTTATATTTTTGTCAACAAGTATCGACCGATGTTAGCCCTTGACTTGGACCAAGGTTTTAAATGTATTTTAAGTTTATCACCCCTGCCATACAAGACATTATTAGACATTGCATCTCAAATACCACAGCCATGTAGTCCTGTTGAATCTGAAGCTGGCACAAAAGTAAGTTGGTCTTAAAGTTCCCCTACTCCCCCTCACACAAAAACACAGCATTGCATGACCTTTCTTTTGAGCATGAAAGAACTTACAGCTAAATATTTGAACATACAGGAGTAAGGTAAGAAATGTGTGAATCAGCACAACAAAACAGCAGAAAAAAACCCTGTGTTTATTTATTTATTTTTAATAGGGCAATGTCCCATTCATACAGAACCACCCCCCAAGGTTTGTGGGCAATAAAAAAATACATTTGAAGTCTACTGGTGTTGCTTTATTTCATTTTCAGTTTAAATAGAAAAAAAGATGAAGGTGCAGGACTGAAAGCTTGTGCTGGAACCAGTTGTGCCTATTCTGACTTCAAATTCCAGGTTCCTGTCAGATGTCTGATTTCAAGTGATGATAGGGCATTAGGGTACAAGAATTTTATCTTTGGGGGGTACTACCCCAGTGACAAGCCTTTGTATCACTAAAGGTGCAGTTGAGTCGTTTTTATTAAGAGTGTCTTTYAAATGTTCATACTGACCTGATTTATAAAATGTGTTCTGACAGAGTACCTAATTTTATTCCCTTACAAACACATTATTCACTAAGAATTATACAACTGTTATACTCCGGCTCTGAAGGCATATTATTTGACAAAAAATACATAAAAGAGACTTGTGGTTAAAGTGACTTGTGTTTTTTATTTTTTATTTTTTTCAGTTGTACTTCAAACCTTGCTGGAGCTTGTTTTATGCTTTACCAACAACAATGCCTATTCGTGTGAAGTGGCAAACAAACAGGGCAACTCATTTACTGTGAAGAAAAAAAAAAAACAAGTGTCTGTTATATTTAAAGAAACACTTGTTCGCAGGATCAGTTCRTAGTTTGTTTTGTTCTTTTTGTTTGATTTGTTGGCTCGATGAAAACTATATAGACACTCATCCTCTTAAAAGAACAAAGTGTGCACCTCCAAACACTCATTAAACAGAGCAAAATGATCTTTCTGACACTTTCTTCCAAATAATGCAAGCTCTCGCTGCTTCCGTTTAGATCTCTGCAGTCACCCTGACAGAACACCAGCGAAGTGAATTTCATTTTAAGTGCTCAAAGCATTTGAATATTCCGAACCACAGCAGAACACATCTCTAAAAGCTGGCCACTGGGAAAGGATTCACAGATTCCTAAAAAAGAAATCATAGTTTTAGGGACCAGACTTCTCAAAACCTTAACATGTAAAATTACTATTATTATTATTATTATTATTATTTGCATGGCTTGTTCCGACGGTAGAAAAAAAAGATGGTTTTGCGAGGTAAATTTAATGAACTGTCCCTTTAAGACTTGTGCTCTGCAGAGGAGTCATGACACGGGGGTTATACAGAAATGTGAATCATTATTACAAGATAAGAATAAAGATTACTACAAGCTAGAAACTACAGTGTAGAAATTGAATATATGTTTTATATTTTAATCATTTGTTCATCCAGTATTTGCCATTTTGAAGTTGTTCTGTGTTTTTATGTCTTCTTCCATGTGACTGATTCTATAATAATATATATTATCTAATATAAATATGTTTACAAAAATGTTTTGTAGAGACATTTGTTCCAAGCAGAACTTGCTTTGGCCCTCGTTTGCTCTGCAGCAAAATTCAGTGCCTGGTCTGGATCATCCTTCCCACTTCCTCCACCATCAGTATTCCTGTGTGCAGGCTTGAAGTGCAACCAGCGACGGGGAGCAGAAACAGAATGATAAACAATTTAATCTCACCTTTAATCACGCTTGCACGGAGTGGTAAGTGAATCACGCGAGAGAGATGCTAAGATATTACAAGTGCGCTTAAATGGAGCATGGCCGCGGTTTGTCATCTCCACCTGGAATTAACAACAGGTATGGGTTTACGCCAAACAGAATAATGCGCTTTCAAGTAAAAATCAATTTGTCATGAAACACCTGATGCATCCGTTGGTTTATTTACAGCCCCTCCAACCCCACAAAAAAGGCTGCAAAAATTGTATTTCACAGCAGGTCAGATGCTGTGGTCTCATTAGAAGAAGTTATCCAAGACAGTCGTCTGGTTTTAGAAGAACAGAGCAAACTTCACACTAGAATAAGGCCTATTTTTTATGGCCTTAAAGCCCCTCTCATTTTGAGTTCAGATCATATTAAATGGTATGACTGTGACAATGCAGACACAATCATCAATAGCAGCTATTTCCTGAGGTTTTAACATAGACTGAATGATAATTAGTTTTCCTTTGTTGTCCTTATCTCTTACCTGCAGAAATGGCCAATTTATGCAGGCTGCACCCCAGCCAGCCAAAGTTGATGCTCCCCAGAGGAGGAAAGCAGCCATGTTTCAGACAATGAAAATGAACTCGGGAGAAACTCAAGGTTGATTTTGATCCAGGGTAAGGTGGAATTAAACGAGGAAGCGGGCCACAGTTGTCTTGCCCTGCCTGTTGACACAACTTCCGCTTCAGAATATAGGGTCCCTGGATCATGCGTCACAGAGATTTGGTCAAGTGAGAATAAAAATGCAAATGTCATATTGTTGAAATGCTGGGTGAACTAAATGTCAGTCTATCTTTTATTTATTTATTTATTTATTTATTTAGATATGAGATTGATGCAGATCTGCTATTGGAGAAGAATGTCGCTGCATAAGGCTAGTTATACCAACAGCTGTGATATTTGAGCTGTGAAATAAGCCTTGTTTCTTTCAGAGGAATAAGCATGTCCTTTACAGAGATTATCCTGCAAAACATCCACAGTCTGTCCTCTCTCCTTTTCATCTCTTGTGATTGAGATTTCTCCAAACCAGTGATGACAACAAGGGAGGCCAGCAGAACAGACAGGTGTGAGTCTGTTGTTTTTAATAATTAAAGGGAATCTTTGTAATGAATACCTAAGGAGCTTCAATGACACCTAGAACACAGCACTCTCAGTTCTCCAAACATTTTGGTCCGCTTTTATACATTTTCCACACCACCATCTGTTCCACTTCTCACCACCCCCCCCCCCAACTCCCATAAAAAATGACCACTTGTCTTGCTCCTTTTTTTTTCTGCATGCCAGACAAATTTCATCAAYCCATCTATAATCCCTACTTCTCATCGACACGTATTGGGAGCAACATCCAACCCCCACCACCTCTGATGCTGATGCTGCTGCGCGCACACACATCAGTAAATGAATCACGTAGCACTAGAACAGCCCCTTCTTCTTCATGCGATCTCGCCAGCCAGACCCCCGTTGGAACCCCCCCACCCCCACCCCTCCTCCTCCTCCCACTTCCCCCCTCAAGGCAAGATCTGTCACTCTTCACTCATCTGCCTGGAGGACGATCAGAAAGTATGTTAAATGCGCTCGGAAGCACACAGGAGTGTGTTGTGGAGGCTTTCGGAGAGGTTTCCGGTCAGCTCGGCTCACTGGGGGTAGAGAGAGACGGAGAGCGAGGTTTCAACAGTTGACGCGGAGAGAACTGTGACTGAGCGCAGGGGGAAGAAGAGGAGGAGAAGAAGAAGCGATTAATTCTGAGCAAATCTCTCTTATTTTTTTTTTTCTCTCGCTCTCATCACAGTGACTTGCGGGTGAAGGAAGAGGAGAGCTGTGCGACTGAAGGATGCGAGGGGTCCAATTGGACTGGATTATTATGGGATTACTGGACTGATTATAGGGACGATCGCAAAAAAAATTGGCTGATGCTTTTGAATGACGGGAACACAAAAGGCTGGACAGGAGAGGATCAGGCTCCGTAGTGTCTCCCCCGCTCGCTTTTTATTCCACTTTTGTGCGGCATGGAGAGAGGCTGGATGTGCAGCACGGACGGATGCAACAGTGTGCCGCACAGGGAGGGGGGGAGAAAAGTCCATGTGTTGTGAATGGTAACAATCAGGAGGGGGGGAGCAATGCTGCATTTTGAATGGCCGTGTCAGTGTTTGCTGTAGCCTAGGTGTTGATGTCGCAAATGAGGGCAATGCGCTTTTTGTAAGCCACATGGTATAACCTTCACATCCAGACTCTAAACGCTTTAACCTTGGATGCGGTTGGGAATATTAATACTTTATAGTCATGGATAATTCATTAAGTCCCTCTGTTATTTAAAAAAACACACACACACAAAAAGCAAAGCATTACTTGTATAGGATGCTGAATTTGATATTTTATTCATACATCTGGTGTCGTCTTGCGGTCATCTTTGTTTACAGAGAKAGTTCATCACAGCCACACGGCATGAAAAAAAGAGGTTAGGATACAAATTAAAATCGAAAACAACCTTCATGAATCAGTTTAATACGTTATTAGTGTGAGATCGGAGTAAACCTCATGCCTGCTGTGGGTTTAGTTCTCTAGTTTTGCCATAATCAACAGGTTGAAAGTCAAGAGGATTTTTCTCCCCCTTCTCTTTTCTACCACTGCTGCAAATCTAGTTGAAGGGATGCGTCTCTCTGTACCCATTTTCTTTCTTCTCTGGGTTAAAGCCCTGACATTGAAAAATTTGAATTATTCTGTTCCGGAGGAGCAAGGACCTGGAACTGTTATCGGGAATATTGCGAAAGACGCTGGCTATGGGGTGATGGAGAGAGGGAAGAAATCAAACTTCAGAGTGCTGGAGAATTCTGCACCACATCTGGTGGATGTTGACCCTGAGAGTGGACTAATTTTCACCAAACAAAGGATTGACAGGGAAACGTTGTGCAGACGAAACCCAAAGTGCCAGCTCTCCATGGAGGTGTTTGCCAATGACAAGGAGATTTGTATGATCAAGATTGACATTCAGGACATAAACGACAACTCACCCAGTTTCCCTTCAGATCATGTGAATATTGATATTTCAGAAAATGCAGCTGCAGGGACACGTTTCCCTCTGACTATTGCACATGACTCAGATTCTGGGGAAAATGGGATAAAAACGTATCAGGTGACAAGAGATGATTACAATACCTTCTCTTTGGATTTAAAAGTGAGGGGTGATGGAACTATATACCCAGAGCTAGTGGTTCAGAGACCTCTGGATAGAGAGGATCAGAGCCATCACACCCTGCTTCTCACTGCAATCGATGGTGGGGAGTATCCGAGATCAGGCTCAATGCAGATCAACGTCAGAGTGACTGATTCGAATGACAATAGCCCCGTTTTTGAAAAATCCTCCTATGTGCTGGAGATTCCTGAGAATTCACCTCCTGGAAAAGTTCTTATAGACCTGAATGCTACCGACCAAGATGAGGGAAGTAACGGGCAGGTGGTCTATTCGTTTACTGGATATGCATCTGAACGAATACAAGATTTGTTCTCCATAGATCCAAATACTGGCGTCATCAAGGTCCAGGGAGAAATAGACTTTGAGGAGAATCCAATCATTGAGTTTGATGTGCAGGCAAAAGATCTTGGGCCCAATCCGATACCAGGGCACTGCAAAATTACTGTCAAAGTGCTCGACAAGAATGATAACTTGCCAATAATAAGTTTTGTGTCCGTCCGGCAGGGAGCCATCAGTGAGGCAGCTCCTCCAGAGTCTGTCATAGCTCTGGTCAGAGTGACGGATAAGGACTCAGGCCGTAACGGTCAGCTTCAGTGCCGGGTGCTGGGAAATGTCCCCTTCAGGCTGCAGGAAAACAATGATAATTTTTACACTCTGCTCACAGATAGACCTCTGGACAGAGAGACAAAAGACGAATACAATGTAACAATTGTTGCAAGAGATAATGGAATCCCTTCTCTGAACAACACAAGGTCTTTTACTGTGAAAATCTTAGATGAGAATGACAATGCTCCTCGTTTTACAAAGACATTGTATGCTTTGCAGGTGCCTGAAAATAATATCCCAGGGGAGTACCTGGGCTCAGTTTTGGCCCACGATCCAGATGTGGGTCGAAATGGAACAGTGTCATACTCCATACTGCCATCCCACATAGGAGATGTCTCAGTGTACACCTATGTGTCTGTTAATCCCACCAATGGGGCCATTTATGCCTCACGCTCTTTTAATTATGAGCAAACAAAATCCTTTGAGTTCAAAGTTCAGGCTAAAGATGGCGGCTCCCCACACATGGAGAGCACCTCTAGTGTCAGGGTCAATATTCTCGATGTCAATGACAATCTTCCAGTTATCATTTTACCTCTGTTGCAAAATGATACAGCTGAAATCCCAGTGCCTAGAAATGTGGGTATTGGGTACATCGTCACTACAGTGAAAGCAGTGGACCATGACCATGGCGAAAGTGGTCATTTAACCTACGAGATCACAGAGGGGAACGACGACCACCTGTTTGAGATGGATCCAGTGGGAGGAGAGGTCAGAATCGCCCATGCTCTTTGGGAGGAGATTGCCCCAGTGGTTGAGCTGGTGGTGAAGGTAACTGACCATGGCAAGCCTCCCTTATCTGCTGTGGCTAAGCTGATCATTAAGGCAAACACGGAAGCAGCAGCAGGAGGGGGTTCCAGCACGAGCGGGGAACAGCAGCACTGGGATGTGTCCCTGCCCCTCATAGTTACCCTCTGCATTATCTCTGTCATGCTCTTGGCCGTCATGACCGCCATCGCTGTCAAGTCCAAGCATCAAGATAAGGAGACTGGGAATTATAACTGTCGCATGGCTGAGTACTCCAATCCACCAGTGGGAAAGGGAAAAAAGAAAAGGATCAACAAGAGTGACATCATGCTGGTGCAGAGTGAGATGGAGGAAAGAGATTCTGCGAGCCGGATGAACGTGGTGAGCAGCCCGTCACTGATCACCTCACCAATATGTTTTGACTACCAAAGCCCCCTACCGCTCACGCTGCCGAGGTCAGAGGTCATGTACTTGAAAACCACCCCAAACAGCCTGACTGTGCCTAGGTCAGGGTGCCACTCCAGCTTCGCAGGGCTCAGCTCAGACACTCCAGCGAATAGGATGTCAGTGATACAGGTAAGAAGGATGCTCCACTATATTCTTATCTGGCCTTCATTCTCACTTATCTGCACACAGTGCTTTGCCTTACAAATCTATCAAAAGAAAAAAAAGTGATTGAAAAAGAGAAACTGGCACTGTGAACTGATTATTCTCATTTCTTTTCTTCCCATTTTGAAACTATGGTATAGTCTCTGCATGTAAAGCATGATATGACAACCTCCTGTTGAACTGTAATTATGTGTTTTAAGTGGCTATGTACTAAAAAGAGCCTCTTTTTCTCCATGTGCATTTGAGAATCACTTTCAAATTGTTCCACTGTAAGTTTTTTTGTTCTTGCAGAATGGCACAGTTGGTCTTCTTAATCTGAAAGTCCACTCAGTTAGACATGCAAACAGTGTGAGTCTTGAACAAGGCTGCTGCGACCCTGCCAGACTCACTGCCGTAGAGCGAAAACAAAACCTTGCCTGAAATGTGGGATTGGACAGGTGTTTGAGCAGCTTGTCCGATCACATTACCGAACCGAATGTGCATCAGACAGCTAGATGCACACAGCATAACCTTACAATCGCATTTTCGGTCCCCACCAGAAATATGGGCCAGATTCACCCATCCGCGTCCAAAGTTGGCACGGTGGGGCCGTTATTAGGTTCCAGCCTTGCCTTGTAGAGATGGCAGGGTTGGATGCTTGAGCCAGCTAACATGCTAATTTGACAGCATGAGTTTGTAGTGCTTTTTTGCACAGCAGAATTATCTGATGTAAATGATGTAAATATTCCAGTACTGTCTCATTTGGAGATAATAACACAGATGACAAGGCCTGGCACTGTCACCAGTCACCAGGGTATGCGGGTGTGATAAGCACAAACACATTACTTTCAACATAGAGGGAAAAAGGATCCTAATGACAGAGGCTAATGCTACGTCTTTGMCTTGCCAAGGAGAACACATATGGTCACAATGGAGATTTGCTGGTGTAGTTCCGTCCTCGCTGGCAGACGCCTGTGGTTGTTTRCAAATACGGTTCGGGTGTCATCATAAATATGGTAAAATGTCCGAAAGCCACACAAAGATATTTCCTTTCCCTGTCTGAATCTCCTGTTATTTAGGTTTGTTGTTCAAAAATGGTCACTGCATATTGTTGTCTTTCCCCTTTTCATTTCTAGACGGAAAATTTTTCCTCTGAGCCCAATTATTCCAGCAGCAGGCAGCCATTTGTTCAAAGGTAAGAGCAGCATCCAAACACTTCCTGAGTCGAGCTATCAAAGGAGGAGATTCTCACTCAGAAGTAACATTAAGTTGCATTTTATTTGTCTTTCTTTCCATCCTGCTACAGCTCAACATTTAAGGATGCAGAACGAGCGAGCCTGAGAGACAGTGGCCATGGTGATAGTGACCAGGCTGATAGTGACCAGGATACTAATAAAGGCTCACACTGCGACACATCTGCCAGGGAGGCCCTCAAGATGAAAGCGGCAGCAGTTAATGGCCAGCCTTTTGAGAAGGGTGAGTGGACATCTTCAAGATGCCTAACTGACTCTTGTGGCAGACATTGTTTGTACTTAATGCTATGAAAATGTGCCTAGAGTTTTGGTCGATGTTTAGGTGAAGGYCTACCAGCGTCTGGGTGCAGCCAGTTCAGAGACGTCTTCAATCAACATTATTAAAAGCTGTAGCTGCAGTGAGACATTTTGTTCCGCTTTACGTTGCAGACAGCCTGAGCTGAGTTTCAAAGATAACATGAAGGCACCCAGAGTGAAAGGTAGATGGTTAGTTTAAGGATAAAAGACCAAACATAAAAAATTCAAACATTCTCCAACTGATTTAACCATCAAACAGACTCATACGCTCGGCAAAGTGTTCTTCAATCTGTGACTTTTTTTGATCATGTCAATATTTGAACTTAGATTTGCTGCATACATGTCACAAAAAAAGAAAAAAGAAAATAGGATAAAAAAACAAGGAAGCATGATAGGCACTTGCAGTGCAAAATGACAGATATTTCTGGTGTAACATGACAGACTGTTTTCACCTTTTACTTGGAAAGATTTTTCTCAGATATTGGTTTTGCTGTGGTTGCACTGTCTTTTTTTGTGAWGGGAGCTTGCTTTACACCTGAAAATAGAAATGTTACATTTTATTTCACAAATCTGAAACGATGCACGCCGCCACAAGCATAATCACAGACGACTGTCAATCTGTTGCCACCCGGCTGACCTGAGAGAGACTGATATATTTAGCTATTGTGGATATAAACTGAGAACATGAAAGCAACTCTCACTGGTAAGATAAAAGATAATGTGGGGACCGGAGTGAAGTGGCAATGTTTTTCATTTCCTCRTCTGTGCCTGTAAAGAGAATGGCTGTGGTCATCATGTCCCTATGCAGCACTTTCCACACCATTTACATTGCTCTGAACTGTTTGTTTGCAGCATGCTCAGGAGGGTAGAGATGGAAACACTCTCGAGGCTGGCAGAAGGATGCGCCAATCCCTCTCTATCTGTCTCACTTTTATATACGTGTGAGTGTGTAAGTGTGTGGTTGTGTGTGCGCTGCGAAAAATTATGGCCGACCAAACTTGACTCTGTGGGAGGTGTAAATTCAATCACTTTGCTTCTTTTACTTTTTTTTCTTCTCTCCAGAATCTGATTCACCCAMAGTTCTTAGGCCAGTCACATGGAGAGATATTGAAAGAGATGCTTTGTTCTTATGAAACCAAATACTCACTCATGCAGCAGTGACACTTGCCTGACTGCAATCCCAGTTAATTTATAGACCTGGTTTTGTAAGATAAGAGAAATCCAATCAAGTGGGGCAACGCTTTTAATATCAGAATGTTTTGCTAATGTCTTTTCTGTTTGTAAGGGAGAAATGTAGTTTTAAAAAACCTAATGGTTAGAATAAATTGCCTTCTCACTGATGGGGTTGGTCAGTTGTACTATAAACGGTGTCAGTGTCTGCAGACTGCAAGATGGAAGATCCACATTATGCATTTTGCCTTAGAATCGATCACACAAAAACATCACCCGCCTACCCACACACTTCTTACTCTCTCTCTCACACACACACACACACACACACACACACACACACACACACACACACACACACACACA